GATCGTAGTCCCCCGACCCGGCCAATGCCTACCCCGAAGTGCACCAAATCAAAGACAACACCAACACACAAACTATTTCTGCTGCCACGCACATGAGAGAAAATAGGAACACAGATGTCGCGTTTGCAAGAAGCTCGACAGAACAGCTGGGGTTCACGGCGGGTGCGCCGAGATCGGCGTGGCTCCTCAGAGGCTGAAGGGGCTGAGGCCAAGTCGCCGGGACGAGTATCTTTGTTTTCGTGCTCGGGTTTTTCTGCGCGTCTTGGGGCTCAAGCCCAAGTCAAAGCTTGGAGTCTGAGGCCAGTCTCGGGCTAGGCAGCACAAGGCTTGGAGTGTTCCAGTTTTGGTGGTTCCCAAAGTTGTGGGGGACCGGGGTTCGAAGCCTCCCTCACTAAGGTCGACAGTCGTGCGAGGCGTGCCTTCGGCTATGAGCAGAATCGTACGTTTAGAGTAGTAAGTAGGTTGGAAGCTGATACAATGTACTATATGTTCAGCTTATTGTAGCACTACCGGTTTTTGGGCTTGGGGGTTTGCATCTCGTCTCTCCCATGTTGGGCATTCGCCACGCTTGCTGTCGCCGGCTTTCCCTTGAGCTTACTCAGAGCATGGTCCGAAACCCAAAACCCTACTAATCCGAATTCAAGCAAAATCCTGCCCCATTCTGTTCTGCCCGGAACCCTTACTGGCCTCGGTCTCGGTGGGGATGCGGCTGGTGCGGCTTGTGCTGCTCTGGCTCCACGCAGCGCGGATGGGAGCTGGAAGTGCTCCTGGGTTTTAGGCTATAGGCTGCAGGGTTTTGATGTCTCGTTCCAGCTTCTAGCTCGTCGGGGAATCGGGGTTCAGGCTTTCGGGGAAGTCGGGTCCACCAACGCCTACCCCAGCTCGCGAAAACAAAACCCTCGGGGATTCAACTTTACCTTCCACCGCACTGGCCCTAATCGTCCTCCCTCCTCTCAGGTAGTTGGGTAGATGTTCGTTCCTTCGTTTCTTCAGGCTTTAGGTTTAACGCATGTTTCGAGTGCCCGGGCTTTTTCAGACCATGCGTCCAAGTGCAAGCTTCGGAGGGTTTCGTGGCGTTTTCGGCAGGTTTCAAGGCCCTCCACTCGGTCTCCTTAGCTCCCTGTCTCCTGCGGCTCAGAGTTGCTCCGCTGCGGCGCCGGAGGATCCGCTGCTCGCCTGTGCGCAGGGTCTGCCACCAAGGCACACAACAACCAGTGCCGGCACACCACCATCGCCAGTGCCACCAACATTCATATCCTCGTCACCACCGTCGCCCGCCAGCAGCAGCATGGCCGACAGCGCCACCTCCACCACACACCCCATGGCCATCCCCGTCGTCATCGTCATCACCATCATCACCATCATCACCATCATCATCATTCTCGTCGTTGTCGTTGTCGTCGACATCAGCATCGTCATGGTCGCCCGAACCGTCAGCGTCAACAGCGCCATCCAAATACAGATCAATGGAGGACTGCCGAAGGCAAACTAGCGGAGAAGGCTCAACTCCATCTAAAGCTGTGCGAGCATAGCACGTCGATCCAGAACCCAAATGGTGCAGAATCCGAATCATCACCTCTCAAATGACGGAAGGCCGAGACCTCAAGCGTCAGAGTCAAACTACTAGCAGAAACAAAGAGAAGAATCCCTCGGCCCCTTCGGATGTCAGAGCGCCTCTGAACTTGTGGAAGCAGGAAGTTGCCATACTCGTGCCCGCAGGTGACCCAATCTCCGATGCCGTGGGTTTAGAAGGCTTGGGATGCGGGCGATGTGCCATACAATTGAAGTTTCAGAAATCCGCACTCACGGCTTACTTCCGCTCTACCGCCCTTACTGAAAGCTTGGCTGTGGAACTATCAGCCGACACCGTAGGGAGATGCAGTGATGAAACGCCGCGGGGTCCTTATGCTGTGCATCTCGCTCTCACTGCGAGTGCGGGTGGTGTGGGATGGATTTGACATATTCGGAGGCCGGCATGTAAGAAGCCAGTTGGAGGCGACCCCTAACTCTCACCCTGCGTCTTGACCTAAGCCATGAGCCCTAAAAACCGAAAGCTTCTGAGCCCTAAGCGGCCAAACCCTAAATCCTATCAGCCCTACACCCCTCTAAGCCCTAAACACCAAAATCCTGAAACCCTGCAAGCCCGCATGGCAAAGCCAGACCCTAAATCTTACTTACAGGCCCGCGCCCCCAAACCCTAAATCCTCTAAGACTCCAAAAAACTGAATCCTCTCTCAGCCCCAAAACCCCAGGTTGAAAGTTTCCAGAACACTATGAACCCGAATGCAGACTAGTAGGATGCTTGCTATATTCTAGTGTAAGGACCTTATGTCCCCTAAGTCAGGTACTCTGCAGTTTTCTGACACTCCCATGTGCTGGCAGAAGAGCGCCCCCCCACCACAGGCCTTCACTGGGCCGCCGTTGCCTCCCGCGGCGCCCCGCCATGCGCCGTGAAACCAGGGCAGAGGGGTTGTTGTTGATGATGTTTCAGACTTCGGGTGTAGGAATTTCTTGTGGGGTGTAGGGATTAAGGTTTTCACATCTTTGGATTTAGGGTTTCGGAGCTTGGGCTCAGGGTTTGAGGGTTAGGGGTTGGGAATGTAGAGTCTAGGCCTTAGGGCTTAGGGCTTGGTGGATTCGAAATTGAAGTCTACAGAGTTTAGGGTGAGATTTCACGCTATCAGGTTCCCAAGGCTTCCTGATCTCCATACGAAGTATAGCCTAAGAAATGGTGCCTTGAGAAACTTCAGGGCTTCAGGTGGATCGGATTGCGGGCGGGCTTTAGGTGACACTCTTCGGGGCTGGTAGCTTGGAGGCTTTTCCGGTTCGGGCTCTTTTGCAGTCTGGGCAGGATGAATGCTCTTCAAACTTGAGGGGGGCCCAGGGCTATCACATGTTGATAGCGAGCCGGCTCGCAAAGGTTCCGTTGTCTTCAAGAGCTTCGGATGGGGCGTTGGGACATGACGGTGCCTACAATAATCGACGAAAAAACTTCAGAAGGTCGCCCTAGACCCGAAGACAAGCACCCATATCCAAACAGGACATCTAGGTCTAAGGCGACGGACTCGCAGCCAAGCCCAACTCCGGAAATCCAAGCCCATGTTCCTGACTTGGTTGTCACATCCGAGAACTTCACCCGAACCTACGACCGAATCCGCTGAGAATCCTTGGATCACTCAGCTTTTTTGCACGCACAAGGTGAAACGACTCCGAGGTCTCTGTGGGTAAAACAGCGGTCGAAAGGCTCGCGCAGCTCCTGCATGATGACGGTACTGACAATGATTGTGGCCATGATGACAAGAACAAGAACAGGAATAATAATAACAACAATAATAATAATATACGATGATAATGATGATGGTGATGGTGATGGGACTTCGGGTTTAAAGCCCCCTTGACGGGCTCAACCCGAACTCTGTGACCGCTGGGATTGGGGTGAGATCTGGGATTGAGGTCAAGCCATTGGGCCTTTGGGGCTCTTGGAGTCCAGATTCAACGTCTCGGGATGTGTCTTGGGAGCTTTCGGCTCAAACATTCATACAAAGGCTTCACGACTGCCTTGAACCAGCCCCGTAATGTTGTGAGAGATGAGCCCCCACTTCAAAGCAATCTGGACACATCGTTCTCAGAAAGTCTCGGCTGGCAGCATTTTCAGCAGCGTAGACAGCGCGAGGCACCGCAACATAGGTAGCATGTCAAGGCTCGATAGAATTCGAAAGCCTCATGAACAAGATCGGACAAGCCTCGCACCCTCAAGTCCAAGAACGCTTCGTGGCTTGATGTCACGGCGGACACCCGTTAAGTCACCGGAAAGTTTGAGAGTCTCTCTCCTTCAGCCGCTAGCCTCCACCAGGGAGGGGGCAGGGGACTGCCCAGCCGCCTGCGCCTGTGCCTTTGGATGAAGACACGCCCTTTGTTTTATGTAAGTCGAGGCTTGCGATGGGTCGTAGGATCTCAGGCGTATTGACGGCGCAAAGTCTCGGAAAGGCCGTTGAAAGCTCCAATTGTGGTCTATGCCATTGTGCAGAATGGTTTCGAACGATAACGGTGGGGTTCGTGATTTCAACCCACGGACTTGAGGGTTCTGCGTTGTCTCTGGCACTGGTCGGAGAGGGAGGAGACTGTGCATGTCGGAGCTTTCTGAATTTAGTTTAGCTTAGGACACGCATTGCGGAGATTCTAGCCTTGGTGTTCAGTTCACTTTTCGGAAACTTGGCAGAGAGAAGATTAAGTGGACCTGATGCCACTTGGTGATGGAGCTTTATCCCTTCGGGCTCAAGCTGAGTCAGGTAACGGACATAGTTTTCGGCATGTCGAGCGCTTGCATTCTGGGAATCACCTTGATGGAAATGCTTTGTAGGTTGTAGGGCTCAGGAATTAGGTGGTTAGATCGACGATCTTCAGCCTGCATCGTTAAGCCTTCGAACTTGCGAGCACGAAATCGAAGCCTCGGCGTTCTTGATCTTGAAGTCGAGGCCTTGCGCTATCCAGGCCAGGAAAACCTGCGCGTCCTGGGCTTTGGATCCCGGCTAAACCCTGGAACCCCAAACCCCTAAAGTTGCTAAACTCAACAGACACTCCTTGCATAGGGATTTTGCGGCAATATGTGCGTGAGCGGGGGGGGGGCCTTGCAGGACACCTCGCCCCACGCCACCATGGAACCATTTTTCGCCAACTCGGCGCCCAAATATCAACCAAAATTCCCGAAATCTAACATCCCGAGGTAAGATCTGAAAACAGAAAATATCACACTGTCGAATTCCTTGAAAGTTTATGCCGGGATGCGTCCTGATTTTTGGGCGAGATTGTATGTAAGACTGCCGAATCCCGAGAGGGTTCTGTGTAAAACCACCGAGGGTTCAGTGTAGGACTGCCGAGGGTTCTGTATAGGACCGCCTGAAACTCCAACCTCTAAATCTCCACCACGCAAAGCTGCAACATCATTCTCTATAGAGCAACCCAGACCCAGCAACTCTACTTTCAACCCTAAACCCTAAACCCTAAACCCTAAACCCTAAACGAAGAGCCCTAGGGTTTACGGCCTCTTCCTCCATCTTGAAGCGCTGCGCAATGCGCTTGGGAGTGACGTCCCACTCGCCGGAGGTCAACCAGTCTGCCACCTGCATACGTCTCTTTCGAGGGTTTGTGCAGCCTCCCCGGTTTATGTACCTCGCGTTTAAAATCCTTAGCTCAAAACACCCTCTGATGTCTCCAACCACTGGCTGGCACCCCAAAAGTTGTAGACCCTTCAACTCGTCCAGGCCTCGCCGGCAGCCTCCCCATCACGGAGGTCGTACCTGTTTCTTGGCATGTGGTTTTGCAGGCGCCATGATGGCCCCGAGGTTTCTGTGCGCATATTCTTAGAGCAAAGTACATGACTTCATCGACTTACTACTGAGCCTTTGGCCGCGGGGGCCGCAGGAGGTGCTTTGACCCGAAAAAAGTCTGCCTGCGCAGTTGCTTCCCCCTCGCAACTTTCTTACCTCTTCTCCGTGATCGCTCGCCTCTACTTCCTAAAGGGTTGGAACTGTCCTTCATAAACTCTTTGTGACATTGAAACTCCTGAGAAGGAATCAAGAAGTAGCATTGGTTACAATGTTCGAATGATTGCGGACTTCTGGTTCGTTTGGCTGTCGACAAGTTTCAACCTTTCCGTTTGTCGCCCTTGCATCCCGACGGCACTTCTCCACGACCTCGTCAAACCGCTCCTCGGGAGAAGGGGCCCTATGAAGGGGCTTTACCAGCTGATGCTTTGACTGTCTGGGATCTTCCGGCTTGGGGGGTGGGATGGCTTGGGGATCCAGACTACCGGAGAACTTTTGCAGCAGCCATGTCAGGAAACCCCACCTACGACGCTGACTCTAGGCTTGTGCTTTGATCTTAGTGCTGCAATCCCCTCGGCCGGGCCTTGGCATTCACCATCGCCATGCCTATGGGATCATCTGCCTCGTGCGGCACCAAAAGGCTTAGGGGCTTCGAGGAGAACGGTCATCCCTGCTTCCGAAGTCGCATCCTGAAGACCAGGAGCCCTGGATCTTGCAACCCCTCTTCCGGCGCTAAAGGAATTAGGAAAAAAGGGACACCGGACTCAGCTGCTTTGGGCCAGGCAAAGTTCAGCTCAATGTCCGAATTCTGCTGGAATACCACGTGAACTGTAGCATCTGTGCCCTGTCAACCTGCAGAGCCCCCGAAGTTTCACCCTGAATCCTGAACCCAGAATCCGAACAGCAGCAAGTTGAGAAATGAGCCACAACCGCAATACTCTCATCCCAACCCAAGAAAGCCCTAAACTATTCTAAACCCAAAGATCCAAACCCTAGAAAAAGCAGAAAATGACACGCCCCAAACCCAAATTGCCTGAACCCTGAATCCTGAGCTACGCCCAAGCCCTCTATCCCCCCCCCCGCCCCCCCTGCCTTGAAGTCTGCCTCCTCTTTGATGGCCCTCTCCACCTCCTCCTGAAATGCTTTGCGCGGGGTCGCTTCGAAAGGCGCTCTCGTGGGGATTTTTTAACAAAATAGTTCCTACACATATGTGTGGTGTGTGCATATAATATGCATTTATGTGTATGTGTGCATGTGTGCGCATGTACAGACTTGCTCACCCTCAGTGTTAAATTCACAACACACAGGGATCTGCGACACTGCTTGCATGCACAGCCTCTAGACACAGAGAATCACTACACAGAAACATATTGCATCCCCACACAGATCTTAGACTTACAGCTGCACCTCTTCAACGTTCTGCCCGGCCCTGAGATCGAAGCTAAAAACCCCTGGAGCCTGCTTCGCTCTCAGAGCCGCTGCGCGTTCCGCCAGGCTCTCAGCAGAGAGGCCCCCACCCCCAAGCTGTTGAAGGGCCAGGACGTCCTGCACCAATGCACCAAGGGTTCGTTACTGACCCAAACGGATGAAACGGAGCTGTAGAGTTTCGGGAGTATAGTTGCAGTCCAGAAGAGGTGGGCGGTTTCGGGCAAGTCTAAGGCAAACGTACAATCATAACCCCGAGTTAATCTGAAAACGCTTCATGGGCATGCTCGAGCTAGCTCCACTGGGTGCTGAAATAGCTAAACCTGCCCAACCCCAACACTTCGTGAAAGCAGTAGACCCTCAATCCCCAAAACACGCAAGCCCGACGTCCCCATCCTGGTCGTACGATGTAACAGTAAGACTGATGACAAGACCAACGACCGCAAGACTTATTTTCATAATCATAATCATCGTACTAGCAATAAAACAATACTACTGGCATTATGAATATGATTATGATAATAACAATAAAAATAATAATACTAGTAGTCAATAGTAGTGGCATTGTTGGAAAAACAACAAAAAAGATCTTCTGCCAGCCTCAAGAGCTGGAGCGTAGGACCGGATCGCTTCGAAAGCTAGACTCCGGCGATTCAGGGCCTGTACACGCTGCGGACAGATGAGTGCTCGAGCTTTGGTGTGGATATTGCTTGTTTGAGGGCCTTTTTCCGCAGCCCGCAGAGAGTTTAGGGTTTAAGGTGTGCCAAACGAAAGCGCGCTTTTGTAGGCGCGCGTCGGCCTGCAGGCTTAGCACAAGTAAGGCGAGAGTACATGCACGACTGACGGAGTGTGTTTTCGGCGCCGGATCTTCGCAACGTTGTTACTGAAGTTTTCCGTGACGGCTGCATTGTGGCGAGGCCTGGCACGGCCAGCTAGGATTTCGGGGCCGGTCGGGTTGCGGGCAGGGCCTGAGCCGAGGCCTTGAGGGGGTTGCGGCAGGGCGGCCGAGGGCACGGGTCGTGGCCAGACCCTCCCCGTGGGAAAAGCAAATGCAGCTTTGGCCTGCATTGTTCATTTTGAAGTAATCATTTCTGACAGTGACCAAGGCTGACTAGGCCTGAGCGTGCCTAGAGGGGTAGGCGAGCCTGGAGGCCGGCTCGGTCGCCCGCCTGGGGCTCCCTCGCAAGGTCTCGCTGATCGCACGACCCGTGCCCATTTTGGTTGTTTTTGTTGATTTGTTTCTTGTTTTCCTGCTTGCTAAACTGAATTGTGATTTTTTGCTTCTTTTCTATAGCTTCCCATCTATTTGTATTTTCCATCGTTTTCTATGTTTTCAGCTGTTATATGCTATCTTTGTATTGTTTAATATGTTTTTGTATGTTTTTGTATTTTCCACTGCCCCAAGGAACTGGATTGTTATTTTTCGTTCCTTTTTGAGATTTTCCACCTATTTGTATTTGATCATAGTGTTTCTATATTTTCAGCTGTTTTGCATGTTTCGCATTTTTTATATGTTGTTTGGTATTTTGTTGTATTTTCCACTGCCCCAGGAAACTGGATTGCTGTTTTTTGTGTCTTTTTTATATGTTCCACCTAGTCGTACTTATGATATGTGTTCTATATTTTCAGCTGTTTGCTTTATTTGTGTATTACTTTTGGATGCGTTTCATATCTTGGTGTACTGTTTTGGTATTTTTCACTGCCCCAGCAAACCCACCCCCAGGGGTTTGTGCTTTAATCAATTTGTGTGTTTTGCTTTGTTTGTTGCTTGTGATTTGCTTTTTGTTTGCAATCTTGGTTGGTTGCTGCGTATTTTTTGATATTCTTTCTATCCATGACGTTGAATTTTTGCTTCCGTCTTGCTTTTATTTCATGTTTCTAATTTTCGTTTAATTCGAGCCAGGTTCCCAATAAGTTGTGGGTATGTGCTTCGCAAGCGTAGCATTTGGGAAAATTTTAGGAATTGTGGGAGACAGGGCTCTAATGCTGACGGAGGGCGCGTTTAGGGTTTGGATTCCGTGCGGACCGTGGTTCTCATCCTCCCTCTCCTGCGATTCCATTCCTGCAGACTTGTACCTCAACAATTCAACCGTCAACAACGATAAGTGTTGGGAGATGTGATAACCAGGTGGGGAGTATGAGCTGTCTTGCGATTGATTTTTAGGTCGCGACACCGCAAAACAGCTGCAATCCCAAGACCCCAATGCGGCCTTGGCATTCGACGGGTCCAGCTGCAAGCAGGAATCTGCAGATTCGATGGCTCGACGGTAAAGCTCTTGGCCTAGGTCAGATTTGGAGGTTAGAGATTACGGCGGCGATTCAAGCAAAGGAATCTTTGGCACTTCCTTCGCCCTCGCCCCGAAATCCTTCCAGCCAAATCTGGAAGCCGGAAAATGCTCTAGACCCGACGCTGCAAACATTTAACTCGCTCAGCCCTTCCATGCTTACCCGAACCCCTCTACAAAGCAGATCCTGCGGGGCAAGGATGCCCACAGCAAGCACAAAGCAAGATACGAGAGTGTAATAGCCCAACTCCATTCGAACGTGGTCGGGGGTCAATGTGTTTCACTGTTCAGGACCTGCAGAATCCATCTCAAGTCATGCAGATACAAACTTGATCTCACGAAAGCCCAAACTCTAAGCCTCGCTTTGTAATGCAAGGTCGGCAGCCTAGCCGGACCGTGCAAACGCAATGTTAGAAGATCTCGGCTATGGAAGTATGCCAAACATGCACATATGCCTGCAGACACACTCGCATGCGCACACGCACTGTTGAGGCTGATGCTTTGCTTACAAGGAGAGGGCTTGGAAACAAAGCCTAGCTGCTGAGAAAGCACTGCGCAATGTTGCTGTAGAGAACTGCCTTCAGTTCAACCTAGGCCAGCGAGCACTGACTCGGCTAACTCGTGGTCTGGATCCACAAAGGAACCCGAAGTGTCCAGGAAGGCAGCTTCCGCGATGCTATGGACGTCTACAAAGGTTGTCCGAAGCCTAGGCCCTAGGCATCTCTTCCACCAAAACGTAATCCACTTCTGCTAAATTTGCCGGTGCTGAGTTACGCGGCACGATTGAAGGTTTAGGGATTGGGTTTCGACATTTGGGGTCGGTGGGCACAAGGACCGAGGGCGTGTTGAGGAGGGAGTCATAGCAGGGCTCTCGTAGCTGAGAGAGACCCTGAAGCTTCAGCGGATCTCCATCTGCTTCTCTTTGTGATGTCTACTCAACCAGTCTGGGAGAAACCCAAATCCTGGGACATATGTGCGCAGCAGTGTTTGTGTTGGGAGCCTGGAGTATGCTCGTGCCTGCGTTTCAATGAACTGCAGGCTTTGGGCCGTCGTAGTCGTACACGAGGTTGAAATCAAGCATCCAAGCGGCAATCTGTGTCCCGCCGCACTGCTCGGCTGCAAACCATAAAAATTCGCGAAACCGCAGAATCCTAGACTCGTCAGAAGTGACAGAAACATAGACATCTTCCGGGCTGCCATCTGCTGCCCCTCTGTCCGAAGAACAGGATGGCCATCTGCCTTCAGGGAACCATCAAGGACAGGTAAGGCGCAGGACTCGAATTGTGGGTTCCAAAACTTGGGCTTCGATTTCAGGATCGTGACTTGGAGCGTCGGTGTGGGTTGCTGTACCTGAGGCGTAAGGGCTTCTCGCTGCGAGGATGTGCAAAGCACCCTCTTTCATGAGCCCACGAACCAAAACCTTCAAGCGTTGAGGCTCCTCCTTGCCGCCTCCACCCGCGGACCAGAAAGCCACGCGCAAGCTCATGCACACCAAGATACCCGCCTCCGTGTAATTGCGCTTCCCCAGTATGCCAAATCATTCTTTGACTTGTCAATATGAGCCACCGATATGTGTTACCTAACCATAACAGGTCATGCGTCTTGTGATACCCGTACCCCTCGTGGAACCCTAGTCCCATCCTTTGCTGGGTCCTTGTCCAGGATGCTGATGCCATGGGTGTAGGAGGTCACGGCCTCGGAGTAGGCCTTTCGCTTCACGGCGCTGTTGCCCTCCTCATGGGGTCTTTCGGATCTACATCCATACCGGTGCCAACGGGTCTGCTACCACGAACCCGGCCAATGACACCTTGAACCAAGAGAAGCAGACTCCAACGTACCGTGGTGTAGTCACTAGCATCTTCGCACCTGGATGCCGTTTTGTTAACAAAGTGCTTTGGCCCGGCATGCACGTGACTGCTACCTCTGCAATCTCATCACAACCCGATGTTCTTGGGCTCTGCAGTCACCCGAGTTGAGTTGCTGAAGGAATAGGGAGAAAAGCTGGGCACACTGCGTTGCAGAACGATGCCTAGGGCAAATCACAGATGTTCATGCTTGCGCAATCTCATGATTCGCAGCTAAGCAAAACGGGTTTAAGCAGATGTCTGGCTCTCAGAGTGGATGCGGCTCCTCCTTCTGCTTGGTTGCCGCTTCAATCAACGGGATGCAATCGATGATCCTTGGCGTTGTTGGTGCATCTTCGCCCTATCGCGAGGCCACAGTCGTTAGCTTCTGCACTTGCGATTCGGGGCGTGGTTTGCATAATTCACGAACGAACATCTGCATGTTGGGCGGCCCCTGCTGAGGGCCAGCAGGTCACGCTGCAGAGTATCAGGTGGTCAGGTGGCCCCACACTGAAACCTGCAATTCTTCTCGGGAGCCATAATGAAGAGCCGGCTTCGCACTGCTGTCCCCTTGCAGTGTCCACACCCCCAATCCAAAACCCTAAACCTCCCTAAACCTCCCTACCTACGCCTATGTAAGCCTCCCTATAAACCTCCTTCCCAAACCTCCCGACACTGTCCAGTGCCACGATCCGAATCGATCCCAGGCTCTGTGGCGTGGCCTCTTCCGAAGGTGCCATGGCCGAGGCCGTGGCTTGATTTTAAGAAAGACTGATTACGACAAGTGTACTAAAGCTATACGACGGAGCCCCAAGGAATAGTCTTGCCATTCACTGTTATTACGAACTGTTTTGGCCATCTAGGCTTCTATCTTGGAGGCTGCACGCTTCTGTCGGCTTGCGGCCTTTCGAGTCGGGCTCCGAGGTAGTGCTAGGTGGCATGCTGCCGTTCGGGGCTTTCGGCGCGGGCTATGGACACTGGCGATTCTGGAACGTCCTCTCCAACAGTTTACTCTTCGACGTCGGAGGATGTCGGGTGTGCTCAGGATGAGACGTTCGCTGAATTGGAGTGAGTGCCTCAAGAGTTGAGCCATAACCCTGCGGCCCTTTGCCATCCTCTGCCCACGAATCCTTGAAGCCTTTCGCGAGGCACGCCGAAGGCGCTAAAGCAAACAGGCTCCCTGCCCTTTGCACCCAACACGAAGTGCAAGAAGGACAGCATCGATCCCACATTAGGTAGCCTGGAAGCTTCCGAGCTTTCTAGAACAGCTGCTCATTCTCACTGCCGTCTGAAATTCGGCCTTGATTGACTGGGTTAGACTGCAGATCGCCTGAAGCTGTTTACAGAGAAGATTCCAACTATGACTCCTCGGACCTTTCAACTGCAAACAATTCCACACCGGGTTTTTCCGTCAAGACTGGGATTGTCGCAGTTTTCAAGCAACGGGGGCCGGGTAGACACAACGCGCATCTCGGACGGAGGCTGTCTTTTCTTGCAGCCAGGGGTTCGCAAGTGAGCGCCTTGCGCAAAATTTTCGGGCTCGGACTGTTGCATCCAGAGGTTACAGGGTTACTTATGAGTTTCGGACACCTTAAAAGCTCTGTCAGTTTTGTTACATTGTTTGCAGGTTTAGTCTTCAAGTTGCGGTGATTCTGGTGAACTCAAACACCTGAAGCATTGCTGGCACCAGGCCCTCGTGGCCCAAACCCCGATTCCCTTGATCATCCCGGACAGGGGCTTTCCGGCTTGACGTCGCGGTCTCTGAAGGCTGTGAGCTGGCTTTAGATTCCCGGGGGGAAGGCTCAGAGGAATCGGCAAACTTCTTTTGCTTTCGCGTCGCCACACGTCTGCGAGACAGCAATACCACAAGAAGCTAAGACACTAGCAACCGATCCTCAAGGTGTGCACACGCAACCCTGAACCTTCTTCAAGCCTCCAATCAGGGTCCAGCCATGCAGAAGAAGGGTCCAGAAACTAGGTTTGGGAAGAGCAGTGGCTCAGCCGGTGCATCTGTTCACGATTACCTGCCAGGGAAGGTTCCGCTGAAGACGTAAAGTGTGATCTCGAATCTGCGTTCTGTTCTGCCGTGACCTGCAAGGGTCCTTTCCACAAGAAACGTGATAAGGACACTGCTCCAGAAGTTTGCACTTCAGCACAAGTCGTGGAAGAACACCCAACGCCCCAACCTACGAATTCTATGTAACAACTCAGCTCACTCAACAGCGAACCCGAGTGCAAAGTCACCTGCAAATCAAGTCATGGAGGTCGGGCGTACTCGGTTCGGTTTGCGACTCTTGAGAAATCAGGTACAGGCACACAAGCGTCGGTAGGGAGTTCCTTTCCCCTTGACCTCAATAAAGTTCGCTACATGATAAGACAATCGACACCACTGCAATGTGTCGCATGATCTCTCATGTCAGCACCTCTCTCTTCATGCATTTTTCTGGAAGTTTTAGACAAGCCTCGTTGCGTCCCGTTAAAGTTTAAAGCCCTGGTAACATGCCTTTTGCAACCCTTCTGAAATCGAACGAAGCCCTTTGAACAGGCAGCCTTTATCAGCCTTATCAGGTACATCCAGTCCCCCCATCCCTGCCAGGAGCAAGCCCAGCACGCCCAGCACGGCGATACCGACGAGTCCCACGAAGCTCCAGGGGCCCCGGACTGCGCACGGGCTCGGCTCTGTGGTGCACGGAGTCTTTTGGCTTTTGGGGCTTCGGAGGTGGAGCCTCGTGAACCATGGCTTTCGCACTGTTTGGCCCTCTTCGTTTCCTTGTGGAGACTCGACCGTAGTGAACCAAACGAAGCAAAGCCCCAAATCAATCTTTTTTGGAGTAGATGCTGCTTGCCGTTCGAACGTGCAGACTGCCGATGAGGCGGCCCGGCCTGATCCCCGAGCATGGGGAGAGCCCAGTGACGATGACGCCTCCTCAAACAAACGGAATTGGGCACGGCAAACCTATTTGTCTTGTGCTTCCTCTGTTTCTTTCTTTGCTTTAAGGAGTGGGCAGGCTCAATCCAGGGTGTGTCTAGGCGTGAAGTGCTGCCACCAGCTGTTAAAGTGTCGCGTGAAACGGTGTTTGCACAAACTTCGGCCAAGCAATGCACGAAGATGCAGCTCCCTGTCCCGTCCAGGCCTCCGTAGGAGGCTCGGTGGATGGAGCCTTGCGGTTTAGGAACTGTTCGAGCATCGGGTTTCAGAAGTCTCCCGGTGTTTATGGAGGTGAGCTTCGCTGTTGTTTAAAGTTGACAAACAGGTGCTGGGGCATCGAATGAAAATCCCAAACTCGCGCGGCATGCCCAAACAATGTGCAGTCCAACAGATGCAGCATCGCCCGCGCGATAATCCTAATCTCCTAATCCCTCCTCTCAGCCCCCTCTCACAGGCCGAACTGGAAATCGCGCCTCGTCTGCGGGGGTCGGAGCCTCAGGAGGAGGAATCACAGGGCTCAGAAGGCTGACTTCGAGTTGGACATGGACCTTGCACCCTGAACATGGGGGCTTCGGACATTCGAGCTCTGGTGAAGAGTTTGGTATGGGGAGGCAGGCGGCTCCAGAAACACAGATGCACTCGCCGGGTTGTAGACATACTTGCGGCCTTCTTCCTGGGCTCGTATCATGAGCGCTCTTCGCTTGAGAGCAACCTTCAAGCTTTTGTCGTCCTCCAAAGGGGCCTAGAGCTTCGAACCTTCAGGGGCTCAAGATGACAAAGCTGAGCTCGGTGCTTTTGCTGCCTAAACCCTAAACTCCTAAACCCTATCTGGTCACATACGACTTCCCAGATAACAATAACCCCTCTCTGCTGTGGAGCTGCATGGATCGGCAAGCCCTCCCCTGAGACATTCGGAAGGCCGGCGATCTGGACCTCTGGGGTATGAAAACTTAGACCTAGCCGTTCACGGTTGGACGTTGAGGCCTTTAGGGCTTCAGGGGGTTCACGGTTTCGGGTGTTAGGCTTTAGTGCTTGGAGGTCACAGGCTTGGGGGGCTTAAGGTTTAGGAATTCAGGGCAAGACGGTACGAGACCACTGTCATCGATTGAGATCTTGATGGGAAATGTGCTCATGACTCTAGCTGCTCCCGGGTTTTACTGAGGCTTCAGCCGACAAACCTTTCGTGGCGAAGAGCCGTGCTATCCAAACATAACGAATCAATCTTTGGGTAGTTCCAGGCTTGTGGCCATGCTCCAAATGCTATCTCCAAAACTACGACGCCACGAAAGCCCTGATCACCAAACTCCAAGCACCCTGAAGCCACAGGTTTGTGGAGATCGTGGTTTACGGCTCTTATGGCGTGTGAATGTGGGATTTGGCTGAGGTCTGGGCTTCGGGCTTTCACCATGTAAGCATAGGCTTTAATGTCCTTCTTATGTGCACAACTTGAGGAGACGTAGAAAGCAGCAGGACCCTCTGTACGCAAACCTTCACGCGCCAAAACCCACGCCTCAATCGCACAGCCCCGACCCTGGGGCAGATCTGCCAGCCTTCTGGATGTCTGTGACGACATTGCCCAAAACATCGTGGATCGTCTGGCGGGAAAGCTTAAGGTGTAGCCGAGGACCACAGGGAACTTTAGATGCCTTGCGTTGCAAAAACCCCCAAGTCCCGCTTCTGATATCCTGACAAAGTATGTTGGCTGCACGCAGGTTTGAGGAGAAGTATCGCTGGAAGATTTGGATCCCCTGCGTTGAAGGTGTCCTGCCTACCCCCAAATGACTGGGAAAAGAGACTTACGGTCAAGACTCAGCAGTCAAATCGGAAGGAATCGGAAGTACTGGTCAACGAACAAACGCACCGAGAACTCACAGTCAAAACAAGTAGGTAGATATTCCTCATGCACCCGCTCCAGCTACACTAGGAACGGTGATGGTTTAGGATACAAGCTTCCGTGCCTGAGCTCTGACCTTCGACAGGGCTCTCAGGCGTACTAGAAAAGGGTACTGGAAGAGTGCGTGTGAAGGTTACTTGCGGGATCTCAACAAGGTCATGCAATCATCTCCCTGAGCCTCGGCTGTCGTGTTGGCCACATCCCCGATCACCGCGGAATCTAAACTTCCGACCTGCCATCACAAGCAGGTCTTCCTAAGATCGGAATCTCCAAGCTTTTGGCTTCAATCCAGCAAGATACTCCGAATTTCGAGCGGCACTCCAGCCGTAACGCGGCATTGGGGTCACATTGCGGGGGCGAACCATGACCAGACGTAGGAACACGGAGGAGTTCCCTTTATGAGGACTGAAGGACCCCTTCAGCTTGAGTCCCCAACTCTCAAGCCAAAGCCCAGAACTCCAAAGCATTTGTGTGCCCCAGCCCACCAAAACATCGCAACACTCGTCCGGGCACCAGGGCGGAGATCTTCAGGTGGCCAGCCGTAGCGTTCTCTTGAGAGCGCCTGGAGACGGAAATCTTACCAAATCCTGTGGCTTTGATGCCTCCGGCCATCGGCTACGACAGCCACTGCATTGCAGGATTCCCGAACTTATGAGCCACGTTTCCGCAGTTTGCTGTTTCCTTGACGTTTCTGGCCCATTTCGTTTCCGCGTCGATCAATGGGCTTGGTTTCGCCTGTAGCTGCTGAGTGTTTATCTGCTGTTCTTTGGATTTTACGCTGTAGGCTTAGGATCAAAGGTTTAGGATTGTGTTTGGGATCTGGGGTGTACAAGTCGGGGTTTGGGGTCACCTGTGCATGTGCAGGTCGCCTACTTGTACATGTCCGGGGTTGGCACATTCGGATAGCTGCCGCAAAGTCCGAGATGAACGTCGCCTGCCAGCTGCGACAAATGGGCGCCTACACTAAACCCTAACCCTAAACCCTAAACGCCCCAACCGCTAAACCATGGCCCTGGTCTCTAAAAATCTTCAGCCCTAAGCCTGGCATTCAGCCGAAGAGGCTTCCGAGATATAAGGCTTGAGAGCAGTCGATGCAGCAGAGACACGAAACCCCTCAAGCCGTAGCTTCAACTGCCAGTTTTTCCACCAGCCACATTTTGAACAACGAGTGATTATAGGGTTCGGGGCTACAGGGTCTCGGCTCTGAAGAAGCCGTTTGCTACGGGTCTACCCTTGAACACACGGCGCTCCAAACCTCCGCAAGCTCCTCTCTGCCCCTCCTCGAAACCCCACACGGACGGCCTTGAGCCTCCTCTCCAGCGCTTCGATGACCTCGTGGATCTCGCTGGCATTCTGGCTGAAGACGTCCACGCGCACCGTGACGTTGCCAGCCCTGGGCGCGGCCGAGGACTGAACTTTTCGAAAACAAGAACAAAAAGGTCGCAGAGTTCGGAGACATCCCTCCTTCGGCTCTGACTCACATTCTTCGGGGATGGCTGGCACACAAATCGAGCAGCCGAAACTACTTGCACACCCAGGCTACTCGCGATATCTTGACCCAAACAGCCTCTGAAGGCCCAATGTTTGAAGCTCGAACAGACTCGAAGCATTTCCCCCCTTACAGTATCTTCTCGCCATCGTGCGGCTCTCCAGCTCCCTGGATGTCCAGGAGAGAGACCGGCCTTACACTGGTTTGAAGAAAAAGATTGGCTTCGCCTTCAGCTTTTGGTTGGGCTTTGGGTATGCAGCAGCTTAGGGTTTACGCCTTGATCATCTTTTTGCGCCTTGGCAGCTTGAACTATGACTCCCTAAGCCCAAGCCTGGCCAAGCTGTGGAAGCTGAACAGCCGAGTCCAAAGAGAGGTGTCAGTTCCAGAATCTTGCTCTTCCCTATACTCCACGAAGTAGAGTCGAGGTTCTGGGTCCAAGCCCTGCACTTGATCTCCCTTGTTGGGGTTTCGAATCCAGGGCTCCATCTACGCACAGGGTTACGCAGTCTTTGGGGTCCAGTAGGTCTAGCAGACACGCGGGAAATGAACCAGGCGCAATGCGACGATGCTGTGACGGGCCGTGCAATCTCGAAACGGTGTCGTCATCTCCTATGAGCTCCGCAAACTCCAAATAAGTCCTCTGCGTTGCTTCTTCTTGCCAATCGTTCTACACCGCTACATCCAAGGCACCGGTGCATGGTTTCCAAAGTTTCAGATAAGTGTGCGCCAATGACAAGTGTGCGATCATCTTGCAGGCGGATGTGCCCTGCAAGCCCCAAACCGATTAGATTGTGCCCAAGAGGCCGATGCTTACTCGCGTTGATGTGGCCTCGGACAGGAGGGGCATCCCTAGCCCCGGTGTCCTAGAATTGAGCTTAACCGTCATTAAAGTCATTTATGCTTGCAGGGAATCAATGTGGCTTCAATAAGTTCGGTTGCTGATGCATGTCTGGATTCCAGCTCCCATGGGGCTTTGTGGCCTGAGCAGTTCAATGCTCGCTGTTGCGAAAATCATCTTCAGGATTTGGGTCTCCGGACTCAGCGTGCGTGAACTGAAAGGAGTAAGTCTTCTCTTCGAGGGCTTCAGGCTCGAATATTGCCGGGCAGGGGTCAAGCTTCCACCGCTTTGCTTCGGGGGGTCGCCTGCGCTTAAAGCGCTGACGCTGAACCTCTCCGAAGCCAAGACCCGGATCCGATCAATCTTTGTAGCTTGAGGACCGAATTCAACCCTTCAGAGGCCAACTCTCCCTGTCGTCTGAACTTGCACTCCCAAAGGACGCAGGGAGGTCTTGGCGAATTGGGCTGCGCCAGCCGATTGGAGGTCGGCGACCATGGAAGCACCAAGAACGGCCTCAGCGAATCGAATCGATGACAAGCGGGAGCACTCACAAACTTAAATTGTGATGTGCGGGGAATTCGGGATCTAGATTGTGTAGAGTGTAGCACTTTTGCTTTCTGCAATGCTTCGAATTAGAATTTTTGCTTCGATTCGGGGTGCCAGGAAACAGTCCAGGAAAGTGTCATGATGCGGGGCGCCCCATGCCGCATGCAGCTGGAGAGAGATTTAGGTCAAGGCTTCAGGGCTTCGGGATTTTGCTTTCACAATACCATGCTCCGGTGTTGCATCCCGCACGGAGCATTCAAACCGTCTCTACAGTAGTCACGTTTGCTTGAGCACTGTGAGCGGGGCTTTGCTGAATGATGCCTCAGGCTTTAGCGGAATGTGCAAGGTGTCCCAATGTCCGGATTCACATGATGACTCTGAGCTTTGGGGGGGACGAGGCCTGTCCCTGCTGACTTTGAAGTTAGCCTCAGAAAGGTAAAGAACTTCACACGCTTGCTTCGATCGTAGCTGGCGCGCAAATGTACCAACAAAGTCACATGGTATATCCCTGAAACACAGAGCTTCGAAGATGAGCCTGCGCGACCTGCCTGATCACTTCTCAGGTTGATGAGCTTTCTTCCGAGAGCTCAGGTCCCCGGAAGATCTGCGTGCTTAACCAATCCGGGCTGAAACTTCCCGCATGAAAACGACGCCGAACATCCGAAAAGTCTTCAACTCACTCCGCACCTGCAAGAGAAACGAATTCTGAAGCTCCAAAAGCGGACACAGTTGTCTTCCGGCGAAGTTCGCTGTAGTTCTGAAGTGTAGAATCCAGAAAACCTCCTGAGCCTGCTTGCCAACTCAATCCTGAATGCCAGCTCTGCCGATCACCAGTTTGCGAGCATTCCCAGATGAAACCTCCTCGAAACAGCAACCAGGCACCCCCCAACATGGCCTCCAGGGACCCCTCCACCGTTTTCGCCATGGCCACTTCCTACGCAGAGCTCGCCGTTGCTTTCAGGACTTGAGAAATCTACACTAAGATCGGCATTCGGTTTGCGGTGTGAGTTGCGATGAACCCGCTCCCCTGAAAGTCAGGCATGCAAACAGGGATGACCCGGAACCCTGAAGCCCTGACACTACCCAGACCCAGCGCCCCTTCAAAATGGCTCCTGGCTGAGGTTGCCCGCCACCTCCTGGAGCAGCTGCTGGTAGAGGAGCCTCGGCTCAGCTCGCTGAGCGAAGTTCTCTTCGAAACAGCTACGTTACCATAAAGCCGTGACTAGCCCAGCTAACTGATCTTTGTCCGTGTCAATGGCACAATACTTGTGCAGTGTTAGGACTTCCCAGGAAGTCGTACTCGTCGCACATCCATACGGCGGAGGCAGTGACAGGTTTCGATACCACTCTGGCACCATGGCAGCACTGAGGACTGTCCCGCGTCCAGACAACCAAAGCTCAAATGCGCAAGACACCACAGCCCCGATTCACTAACCCCATCTGAACTACTCCATGTCGGAGAGGCTGTAGTTGCTCGTCTTCCCTTTTCTGGCTGCCTCAATGACAGGGGTTCAGGAGTCGAGCTCTAGGCTCGTATGCAAGGATGCCTTTACATCCTCGGCCTGAGCGGAAAACTGTAGCCCTTGAGACCCCCCCTGGATAGGTTGGGCCAGAACCGTAACCAAGTCCGGTCTCTCTAAAATCCTGCCCCGAATCCCCAATCCCAACACCTGTCTCAGGCCTGGCGAACAACATGAAAGGTTCGATTCTGGGACGTGTGAGCACTGGAATCTTGCGACATGCAAAGTGCGTGTCAAGTCTTTCGGGCAGGGTGCTGTGCCGCACAAGGCAACATTGAATTTGCTCGGTCAAGGACGCCCAAACTCAGAACTGCCCAGCTCAGATGTCTTCGCATAACATGATCCTTGAAGGACCTACCAATTTCAAACACACGAAAAGGACTCCATTTAAAGAGAACAGAGCCCCTTGGGACCCTCACACTTAGACTTCAAGGCTTCCGGGTCGGGGCCTGGCCTGCAGCCTCCATGGCGGCTTTGGCCTCGCCGTCCAAAATCTCAATCTCCGTGGTGTTGACTACGGCTCCTCGAGGGCTCTCTTTGGAGGGAACTACGGTTTTTTCTAGGGTCTGCGGCTGGGCATTACCGAAAGCTGTCCTGGAGTCTTCGCATGCGGCCTTACACGTCAACGAAAATGACGCCCGCAGTTTGGCTGTTGGAGGCTTGTTGGCTGCTGCGAAACAATGAAAAGCCCTGCCTGACCCCAGACCTAAACCTTGAAGCCCGACATGGTCGCCGACAAACTCGACACGTTTCTGCCCGATTCAGTCCTGGCACATTCATCGTGTCCCGCATCTGCCAAAAGCGCTGGGTTTAGGGTTTGCGGCTCGTCCAAGGCTCAGGGACGTATGTCGTCTTCATGAACTTGGAAGGCTTCTGCGAATTCACAAACGTGACTTCTACCTGTTTAAACATGAAGATGCCGTTGCCAAAATACCAGAGCTCCCGCGGGAGGCTTGAAGAAACCGTCTGATGACATGCTGCGATGCAACGGCATTTCAAACACTCCGCTTCTGCGGGTCATTTGTGGGTCACCTAAAACCGCGAGCCAAACTTCTGCTTCCTTGGCCCTGGCTAAAACGAAATCCCGAACGCTGAATGGCCCCAAACTAAGCCACCAAGGCCCGTGAATCCAAGCCCCCGGAACCGCAAACCTCCAAAGCGAACCCGGAGAA